TGACTCATGCTCCATAGCCCCACTCCCGGATGAAGTCCAAGACCAATCCGTACCCCCATACGAACCTCTGGATGCAGTGCCAACCAAGTGATTGAAGACTGAGGCTCTCATGTTGGTTCCCTCCGTCTTTCTCTCCCTTAATCTCTACTCTCTTCCTTCTGCCTTCTCTGTGGCCTAGCTTGGACCAATTCTCCCTCTACATCCATAGCCTAGGCCTACACCCGCCTCCTACTACTCCATAGCCTTAAACTCCAAGGTCTCCCTCCATCATCCAGCTCCACTGCTTCAGCCAGAGCTCCACATGACTCACGCTCTGGGCAGAGCCACCGCATGACTGCCGGCGGCAAATGTGCCGGCCTACTCATTCACCAAATGATACACTCTTTGACTACCTGCTTCCAGCTCTCTTCCTTTGCTGGGTACTGCTGCCTCTACCAGTACACTAGCCCTACAGGATGTTCTACCTTAAGTTTTGGCGGGAACATCATTGCAGTCTGCCATCCATCGTTAGGAGCCGAAGCTAACCTGAAATCTACCAAGTTAGGGCCCAGAATACTGGTAACCCCTTTTGGAGCCTAGCAGACCTTCGGAAGCCTACCGGATTCACTTGGGCCTACCCGACTTACTGAAAAATCCCTACCAGGTACTCGCCAAGTTTTGCTTTTGTCCATGTCTGTCCTGGGCCCCTTGCCATTCTATAAAGTCTCTCTGGTGTCCAATTCCAGTCCACCCCTCCCGGGGACATATAATTTTTTTTTTTTCTTTTATTATTTTTTAGATCATGACATGACGATCACCACATAGGGACTTGGCCACACACAGGCAAACAATACTGAAGAGTCAAAACATAGAACTCTCGGCAAAACAGGCCAGCCACTTGAAAATTGCAGAAATATCAGCCCTGAAGTGAGGTCCCTTCAAGCTGGATAGAGCCTAGGGATGTGGACAAAATGGGTTGCAAGCTTAGAATGCAAAACGTGCAAGTGTATGCTTGTATGTATTGCAATCACGCATCAGTCCACGGTTGTATGCATTCGCAAAAGGCATTGGTTTTTGATACCGACATGCAAAGGTTCGAATCCAGCGATTAATTCCAATTCAATACAAGGTGCAGAAGTAGTGCACGTACAGAATCATGTATGCAACACCAGATATGTACGAAGATGTGGACGTACATCCATGACGTAGGAAGGAGCTCATCTCGTACGACTTTGAGGATAGGTCAGGATCCATAGCAGTGCCGCAATACCTTAAATTCTTGTCACAACACGCAGACATTTTGACCAGGACATTTTGTCTCATTCGTTGAATGTAGCAGGTATGCTTGACTACAGTAGGACACGACATATTGTCATCGTCTTGTTGTCTGCGCATAGTTGAGACTGCGAGCAAGTCATTTTTGATAGTTTACTCCATAATCAGGCATCCCAGATATCGGATCTCCGTGTTAGTCAGGCAATAAGAAATCAATGGGGCTACAAAGTTACAAACTGGCCAAGCGGTCTGCAACTCATATGGACTCATTCCGGTAGCTGAATGTACGTACTACGTAGTGACTGTACAAAGTTCGCACAACCGGACAAGGTAAGTCATCATCCCAGGTTTTCTCATTCGGGTCAAGGGGTGAGCTCAGCAATTGAGTAACCCCCGGTTCATTTCCTTTACCTGTCCATTGCTTTCCAGATGGCGACCTGAAGTCATGGCCAAATTGGCCATTTGTGCTCCATAGAGTGCAGTAGTGAAAGATTTCCACAATGAGCTGATGACAGGAATGTCCTGAGCACTCACAATAGTTTTGGGGGGGACGCTACGCAAGGATGCAATGCTTATAAAACTCATAAATTACCAGTTTTGTTGGTGCATTGGATGGTAAGCTCTTGATCCTCCTTGTACTTTTTAAAAATTTTCCAACAACGATCTACATGTGTTCAACAGAGGCTGAACACGGCGCTGAAATGAGATGAAGGTGAGTTGCAGATATCCTTTACAGGCTGCTGGAGAGATCTCTTGGAAAGAAAAGACCTGCATCATGGCCGCCCTAGGGATGCTAGTATCCGAATATCGTTTTCACGTTTTTTCTTTTAATTGTGTTTCTTTTTTTTCTGTTTTGTTTTCAATTTGGTTCAGGGATATAAGGCCCGAAGGCCCTCAACGAATGAGTTCCTCACGAAGTTGCCCAAAGGTATAAAGTAGGGAGATGCATTTCAGAAGGCTTAGGGTCATTTCACATTCGTATGCCTCCACCTCGTGCTCGTGACTGAGAGGGATCAAAATCGGAGAGAGAGAGAGAGAGAGAGAGAGAGAGAGAGAGAGAGAGAGAGAGAGAGAGAGAGAGAGAGAGAGAGAGAGAGAGAGAGAGAGAATGTACTATGCATGAACAAATTATACATAATATACACATTGTAAACTATGTTTACACTAAGCATAAACTACATTTGGATTGTAAATAGGATATGTGCAAGCTCTATTGAAGTGCTATTGGGGTAGTGTAGACAATATATGCATATTTTATTTTAGGCTAACATTCTTGCCGTTGTTGCCAATCATTCAACTCGATGGATGGACAACTGTTGAGAAATTAGGAACAATTTCGTGAAAATACGAAACTAGACCAAAAAACGACTGTAAACCATACAGATTAATACGATTTTAGTACGTTTAAAGAGGACCAACCAGTACTAAGCATTCTAGCACTTAAGAAGTAGTGCTCCGTCTGGTTCATCGTTGTCATCGGTAACACAACTTCAAGTGAAATCAACTTCCAATGCTGCGATTTGTGCAGCCTGCCGTTAGTGACGTTGATTGATTTCAATCGGGCTATGTTATTGACAAGGATTATTCATGGTGGGTTGGACACATAATAATAACCGCATGATGAAACAGATCCTGTTGGATTGAACAGGGGCGGAGGCGTTAAGGGAGGGGTTAAGGGAGGCCTGGGGATAAGGGAGGGGGAAAGAGGTCAGGGAGGGAAAGGATGGTGGGGAGGAAGTGGCGGGGAGGGCATGCATTGGGTGTGTAGCAGTGTACAGAAAGCTATGACAAGTTCCGGTGACATTCGCTGAACAGGACATGAAGCTTCCTGTTCGACAGATGAAGAAAAAGGATGCGACCATGAATGACCGCCAAAAAGGCAAAAAACAGAGCAGAAGAAATAAAATTTTAATCTTGTATATAAGCTGATTACAAAAGGCAGATTATCTTACTTTCCAATGAACATACAAAATACAGAGCCGCTCGATCAATGCAAAGTTGCAAACACGAGCTCGAATTGTATTTCAAGGAATCCATGTGTGTTCGACTTACCTGGTCCATAGGCCATTCACATCACCCTTCTGACAGTGTCCCATCCACTAAGAAATGACTACAAAAGCCAGACTCTGACACACCAGGCAGCCTTTTCAACAGCAAGTTAGTTACGAGACCGACGCTGTCATTATCGGCAGTTCGATAATATGGATATGACATAAACATCAAATTGAATTTACAATTTGACAACCAACTCACAGAATGGTTACACCACTCCGTGTAAGTTGCGACGACATCTCAATGCATCGACTGCAACAGTCAGAATCGTCATTGCTTCTTTGGAGGAACGACAAGTCCAACTTGAAAGGCGCATTTCGCCATCATCTGACGTCCATACCACCAGCAGTTCCTCCAACTTGAACTGCTTGTGCTATGGACCTAGAACTGCTGGTGGTCCATAGCACAAGCAGTTTCAGGTCGATATGACGATAACACAACTGACGATCCCCGATCCGTATCCCCAGCAGTTCCAGGTCCATATCACCAGCAGTTTTAGATCCATAACATTATCGACGATTCCATTTCCGTACCATCATCAGTTTCAGGTCCATAACACCACAGTTTCAGGTGCATACTGCCAGCAGTTCTGGGCCCATAGCACGAGCGGTCTCAGGTTCATAACACCACTGATGATTCCAGGTCCATACAAAAACCAGTAGTTTTAGGTTTATACAACCAACCAGCAGTTCCACGCTTATACCACATGGTCTGGCTCCATACGTCGTCAGATACATGGTCAATCGTTCTCTGTGGTAGCGGGATCATACCTGTTCCAGTTGCGCGACCAACCACAAGGTCCGCAGCTGAATTCCAGTAAGCAACGACTAGTAATTAACGAGTTCAGGAAATAGAAGGGAAGGGAATTTACCAGTAGCGTACTACACGAGTTTTCTTGTTGTGCCCACAGGGAGGGGGAAAGCGGAAAACCGGACATTGCCTCTTACAGAAAACAGCTCTCCTATGGGAGCGCATGAGGCAAACCAACCTGCAGGATAAACAACTAATATAAGAAGGCAGAGCTGTGAACGTCTGTTGATCTCTGCATTCACTTGCAGATGTGTGTGTGTATGTGTGTTTTAGAGAGGGAGAGAGGGAGAGAGGGAGGGAAAGGGTGGGGGAGAGAGAGAGAGAGAGAGAGAGAGAGAGAGAGAGAGAGAGAGAGAG